GGAGAGCCTCCTCCAAGAGGACTTTAGGAGGCCGTACTCCTCCAGAAGCACTGGGCAGCTGTTGGCACAGAGTGGTGCTCTTCTCCTAGAGCTCTGTGCTAGCATTTGAATATTGCTGTCACAGCACGACTCGGCGCTGAGGGCTCTGTCATGCACTGAGGCTGCAAGAGTCAGGCCGCCCCCCTCTCCCTCGTCCTTTCCCCAGGCTGCTGCACAGCAGCTCCCAGGGCTGCCGAGTCCTGCCGCGCCTGGATGTGCTGAGGCTGCAGAATACAACTCCAAATGGCAAAGGGAAGACTTTTTATAGCTCATGAACTCCAGCACTAGCGCAAGGCATAGGCTGTCTAAAGGCAAAAGAGACTTGTGCACTGCCCCCCCTCCCGCCAAGTGAAACTTGGGACCTTTAGTGAATGCTGCGAAGGCCTGCAGGGACTCGGGCACTGCCAGCAGCACGTGGCGTCAAAGAAACCCACACGAGGAGGGATACACAAAGCACTTCCACAGCAGAGGAGCTAACGGCTAAACGCAAGTCCGAAACACAGCTCTGGATCCTGCTGCAGATCCAGGCAGGTGCTGACAAAGGTTTAGCAAGCCAAGGTGAGAGACTGCAATGTGTTGATGGAGCAGAGCTCAGACACCCTCTCTCTGCTATGAGTCTCATGTCCAAACACTTGAGCTGGGATTCCTGAAGCACTTCAAGACAAAGGGAATTAGGAATTGTGCTGGCCTTGCAGGAACACGCTGGACTTTCTTTATCCTCCCTCCAACCTCAATAAAGTTCCTCATCATTAGAAGAATCCGATGCTGGCTACTTTCCGTAGGATAGCTCAGTTGTTGAATTTAAAGGTCGTAGGGTGCCTAGTGAGAAAGGGTGTCTAATAAAAGGCACAGAAACAACTGCAGTGCCAGCAGATTAAATTCCCCTAGCAAGAGGCTGAGCAGAGGGCTAACAGTCCTGGAAAGGTCACTCAGTACGAGATGCATTTCAAAGACAGACAGTGATGAGGCAAGTCCGAGAAAAGCAATTGGGAAGAGATGAATAAAACAACACAGCATGTCCCAAGAAGCCAAGACATCAGAGAAGGGGAGGCCTGGGGTACACAGGGCACAGCGGGGTCCTGGCCCAGCTCCTGCAGGCCCCAGGTAGAAGAGTTAGGATTCTGTAGCCAGTTGAACATTGCAGTCTCAACCCTCTTTGGTCCTACAGCCAAACTCTAACACTGGAACCACTGCTGAGAAAAAGCAAGTGGGACACTGTGTCATGTTGTGACTGAACAGTGACCTTCAGGGGCACTCCTGCTGTTTCTGGGACAGCACACGAGGGTGCTGAGCCAGGAGGGAACTGACAGTGCCCTGTTCTGCACTCTGAAAGTCCAGCAGGCACCAACCCAACGACAACGATGCACCAGAGCCACAGAGCAAAGAGCACGTCTCCTCTCTCCTCTCCAAGTTTATTATTGTTTTAAACGTTCATAAAGTACACTGCTAGTCAGAGACCCAGCGGCACTAGGGCCTGGATGGGGGATGGACAGCGAGACCTGCAGCAGCTCCAGCCTGCCAGCCCAGACAGGGATCAGTGAACCGCTGGACACGCTGGCCTGAGCAAACACGAGCAGAGCGAGCCAGCTTCAGAAGACCAGAGGGGCACGTGGCACCCAGCTGGACAAGGGGCAAGTTTCAAAGGCACGGCACGAGGCATGAGACCTCTGTCCTCTCATATGATGTTGGAGGTCTCCTTGTACCTCTTATGGATCGCACGTCCATTGCTGCCCCTTGTGCTAGCGGGCAGTCTGCAGCACCCTCACAGGAGGAGCAGCAGGGAAAGTAAGTGTGGAACCTGCTTTCTCAGCTCCTAGGAAGCCACATGTAGAAGCAAAGACTGACCTAAGGCACAGACTGGAGCAAGCCAGAGAGACGGCAAAAAGCTGCTGGGGATCATTCATCTAAAAGCAACATGATCCAACTGCTTTGTCGGGTACACTGCCAAGGGCTACACGGCCTGCCAGCTGCTCGGAAAGACTTTGGGGCAGTTGGTCCCTGCATTGCCAAAGCCAGCCAGAGGACAAACCGATATGAGGGAGAAAGGCTGCCCGGGGACAGTCAGTAGGCATGGAATTAGTACAGGCAAATCTGTGACAACAGGGGAGTTCCCCAGGTGCAGGGGCCAGGTTTGCTTGCGAGAGCAAAAAAATCTAAATAAACAAGCTTGAAAGTCTCACTCTGGGGCTGCCCTCACATGCGAAGCGTTGGCCGTACCATTCGGCAGGAGCAGCTGGTGGTGGCTGGGGAAGCAGCACATGGCAGGGTGGCAAAGAATGCTATTTTCTGTGTTGGTGCTTCTTAGAGAGAAGAGTGATTCTCAGCCCCTTCGAAAGTCCTGAGGAGCTTCACTCACCCTGGCAGAGCCTGGCAGGGAACCGTGCCCTCTCCACGAGACGGTTAAGCCACAAGCAACAGCAGCAAGCAGGAAAGGGCTGGTATCATGCAAAGTGGCCCCACGGGGCTAATAGCAAAGCTTGTCGTCCCAAGCAGTGCCTCCTGCACAGCCCGTATCGATCGAGATGACCTGGCAGAGTCCCTCCGAGAACTGAATCCATCACGGCAAGAGAAAGTGAAAGGAGGAAGGTGCTCAGCCCCGCTCCGGGCAGACCCTAGACAGCAGCAGAAGCTAAACGAGTCCTTCAAAGAGAGAGGGAGATCAGCAGGTACTTCCATGCAGATGCCAGGCTGAGGCTGGCAGTGTCCAGAGCTGAGAAAGGAAACCTCTGCCCTTCCAGCATCCTGCAAAGGCTCCCAGGAAATCCAGACTCCTTACAAAGCTGTAGCAGCAGAGCAAGTTGGTGCGGGCAAGAGCTCTCCGCTCATCCTGGCAGGATCAGTGGATTTGCAGGCAGAGCCCACTTACATGTGCTCAGGGTGGTTCTGAAGACACTTGATGATATCGGTAACAGGTTTGCCCTCGTAGCAGATCTGATACACAGCTGTGAAGAGGGGGAACCTGTGGGCAGATGAACAAAGTCACCCCTTGCTCTGTTGCCGCAGCTGGCAGAGTCAGAGTGCCTCAGCTTCTATTGCGACATGCAGGACCACTGGGCAGGAGCAGGTGGCACAGTGGCATGGTGCCTCATCCAACAGGCCATTCCTGCCCAGCTGGTTGGATGTGGACAGTGCAGAGATTGACCTGAACAGCAGAGACATTAAGGGTGGGTTTCCCCTCCCACAGCCGCAGGGAAGATCCCAGCCCCATCCCTAAGAGCAGACAAGAGAGATGACAGCACTCACTTCTCCACTGCGTTCTTGGTTTTAAGGATGCGGTGCAGCTCAGCAGACGTCTGGGGACCCTGCAGCTTCTGCCCATTCAACATCTCCTTCTCCAGCTGCTCAATAGACTGAAACAACCCAACAGTGAGGGACCTGGACCCCGCAACCCCATCTGCTGCCCCACGTTCCTTCCCTGGATCCAGGCTGCGGCACTGGGCGAGCAAAGGCAGGATACCATGGCAATCATTGGGTTCACCTCCCAGCCTGCTCAGGTTGATGCAGATATCAATGTTGCCCGCTCCCCACTCTCCTTACCTTCCCGGTCTTGGCAAAAGCCTCAGCCACTTTGCGGTTACGGCCACCATAGCAGGTGGTGATGAGGTCAGCGACGCCACAGCTCTCCAGGAAGGTGGAGGAGGTGACGGGGCCCTTACAGAAGAGTTTGGCAAAGCTAATCATCTCCATCAATCCCAGACGGATCACAGCAGCCTTCGTGTTGTCTCCATAGCCGAGCCCATCGCAGAAACCAGCTCCTACAGCCACAATGTTCTGGAAAGTAACAGCAGCGTGGAGAGATCTGTTCCCAACAGAGCTCAGGGCTTTGCTGTGTCCACAAGCTGCCTGTGTGATCCCAAGCATGGGTTCCTGCCTGCCCCTGCCTATGCCAGTGATCATCATCTCTCCAAGCAGCGGAACAGGACACATCCACAGTTCCCTCCAAAGTCTGGCCTTTGACCCAATGGTCTCAGCGAGCCACAGTGCAATATCCCGTGGGGTTCATTCAACTGGCAGCCTCCTCCCCAGAGCTCCCTGCAGGGCTCTGGAGAGCTGCAGGCTCTGCTACCCAAGACCTGCAAACCCCGGCGAGTGGCTCACCCACCTTGAGAGCCCCACAGATCTCTACGGTGTCAGCTTCCTGCACCACCGTCACACGGAAGTTTGGGGTCTGCATCAGCTCCTTCAGCATCTGCCCATGCTGCGTGTTCTTGCAGCCTGATGAGATAAAGGGAGGAGGAAGAGGAAGATGATGGGGGGAGACCCTAAGGTAGGACTGCCCAGCGGTGC